TTAGGTTTTGCATTTGAAGTGTGCAGAGCATGTACATAATTATTATGGTTTTGCTTATTTACATTTGCTCTGTAGTTTGGGTAAGACCTGTTTCTATCATAATTATTACCAACATTAGAACTTGGTTTGTAATTTTGATTTGAGTTATGAGACCTATTAGATGAATGACCATTGTAAGCGTACTCCGGTGCCAATGTTTCTGACGAAGGTCTTGGTGGTTCCTTATAATTAGCAAGGCGAGCATGGATGTTCTCATAATTACGGCAAAGAGACCTCAAGGTGTCAATATCTGGGATTGTAGTTGCCGATGCTAATGTACTAGCATAACATGGTTTAATGTTATGGAGGAGGATTTCTAATTTATCCTCGTTGGACAATTCGGAAGATAAACGCGAAAATAGTCCGGACATAATAGAGAGATATATGGTAATATTCTCATTTTCACCCTGAGTTCTAGCACGTATTTCCGAGCAGCCGGTAATCGTAATCTGTTTGATCGAAATCTTTTTAGACGAGTAAGTAAGGCATCCCAATCAGAACTGTCATCCTGACCGTCAAGACCACGGAACCAATGCAAAGCGTCACCCGTGAAAATCTCTGTTGCATAAGACAACAATTTCGATGATGAGATATCCCTAGCTTTGCGAAATTCCGTAATTCGCTGAATAAAGGAGCGAACACGACTTCCCGTCGAACTTAATCTTAGTGAGTTCGCCAGCTATAGCACGCTCGCATGAAACGTTAATATTTAAAGGTCGCATAGACGAGTGTTGATCTAAGTTTATGTTTGCGATAGGTGTAATTATTTTGTCCTCTACTGGTGCTTCTACAGCTGCATTGTACCGAGTGAACAGAGACTGATACTCCGTAAGCAAGCATTATGAGCAGAAAGTGTACTCTCATCAGGACTTAACCTGTTAAAACGATGATATAGGTGGTGCAATAAATTTTGGACACGAACTGACGTCTTTTTTTCCAAAGGAGCATCAAGAAGTAACTTTATCTTCGTTAAAACATCGGAAATACCCTTTAAATCTTCCTCAATTTCTAAGGGACTGTCTGTAATATCCTCTGAAGGAAATTTGGGACCCAAGTCCACGATTTGTTTACGCAATTCAATAACCGTCGAACCAGGCTCGCTGCCTCTAATGAGCACCTCGTATTCTAATTCCGTCTTTTGTAACGATAAAAATTTTACTGGGTATTCCATAGTTATAGGAAAAAATGAGATTGTTTAAAGAGAAAAATAAAAATGTGTAGCCTCTCAATTAACGTAAGTGTTGATCAAGTGTCCCTACTCCGTTCTGTTACAGAAGACTAACTAAATAACGTTATGGTTGATTTAAAATTAAAAATCTGAAAATGTAAAACACAACACAAAACCAAAAGAAAAACAAAACATAAAATTCAGCTAGTGTGTACACCAACAGTACAGTGTATAATTAAAATACAGCTGCTGTGCGTAACAAAAAAATTGAGACAGAGAGAAGAAAAAAAAAAAAAATGACGTGAAGAATTTGGTGGTGACTTCGACGACAAGTTTCCTCTGCCGGTTCTTACGGCACCCTCGGATTGAAAAGGGGTGGTACTATTCGTACCCGGTACCACACGGGGAAAAAACGTAAAAATACATTCGTTAAAAAAAAAAACAAAATCAAAAAATTTTACTGAGACGTTACAATACGAAACAAACAAAAAAATAAATGCAGTGTACACCCTAGCTGACGGCAACCAAAAAATAACGTTTCACAAACACAAAAACAAAAGAACACTTAACACACAACTACTACTACACAGCAAAAACAGACTCTTGTATACCACGTTAAAGGGCGCCAATGTGACGGGTGACCCTAAGTGGATAAAAATAAGAGAGGGTACTCGTCATCAGTTACAAAGATTTTATTCAAATATCAAATAAAACAACCGGAAGGGTCGCGGTAGGTACGGCCTAAGTAGTCTGTTTTCGCTGGCGTAGAACGGTACTCCCCTGGCGAAGAAGGTCGACAGGCGGCTGGGTCTTCACTTCAGTGTAGAGGTCTCGCAGTCGCAACTAATAGTGAGCTGGTACTGCAGGAAGCGTCTTCACTTCGGAAAGTCCACCGTCATGGGTGTAGTGCGTAGCGGAGATATTCTTCTGGATGTTTCTTAACCCGTAGGGTAACAGTTCCGTGGGTAACAAACCCGAAGGTAATCCCCTGTGAATAAATGTTCACGCTGTAGAATGGTGCTAAAATTCCTCCGCTGATAGTGAACCCATGAAGTGCGTCTTCTTAATAAAGGGAAGTAGCCGAGAAAGCAGAAGGTGTAAGCGTTCACTATCAGAACGGAGATTACAAGGTTGCAGTTTGAGTGACTTGCAAATATTAGTAGGTACTTGAGGAAAATGCTAGAATGAACAGTTTATCGATGCACAAGCATTAAATGGAAATAGCATTTCTACTTATCTATGCATTAATATAAAATGCACTAATATAAAATTACGGAATAACTCACTAATAAATAAGTAGCGGTTAGGAACATTTGAATAGCTAGCCTGTGCTCTGAGCGTTACGGTACTTGTTACGGTAAAATAAAATTACGGAATAACTCACTAATTAATAAGAAGCGGTTAGGAACATTTGAATAGCTAACCTGTGCTGAGCGTTACTGTACTTGTTTGTTACGACACAAAGTATATAGGTACCTACGCCGGGGGGCTTGATGCTTGGTAGCAGAGATAACATAACATATAACAAAGCTTACATAAGCCTACAGCAAAAATGCTTCCGTAGGAAGCCACAGGTATTTAATATGAACACTAAGTGGTGAATTCTAGAACTAGTACATGGAATATACTTGATCAACACTTACCCAATTGGGGTTTCCTGTTGCGCGTAATAACTATATAAAACTATGGCAATAACGTGCCGATGTCGAGGTACGTTACCGGCGTCTTTACGATAACGGTTTTATTTGTTTATGGGAGCGCGTCACGTCCTAGTGCGTGAGGCGAGATTTTCGGAATGGCCAGTAGCGGTCAACCGTAGCTCCGACACAAAGGCACGGAGACAGCCGAAACATGTCGATAGTTTCCGAATGTGGACCCGGCGGTTGTTAAGGGCCGTCTTGACCAATCAGCTTGCTTAAAATATCACGCCATGTTTTAGACAAAGGCTGGAATGTGGTACCTGGCATCTACTGACGCCGATCGGTTAACAAAGAACTCGACGGCCTGAGTATTATAGCCGCATCTCGACTTGGAATTTGTAAACAGTGACGATTTCAGATTTGATAATATCCTACTATGAAATTATTTTGTTACTAAGGTATTAGGTTTGTAATTAGGTTTAATTAGAACACTTTAGGTGTTTAAGTTAAATTAGTAAGAATATGTAACTGCAACGTTACAACAGCTCATCCGAAGCACGGAACCATCTTACTTTTCGGACAATCAGGTGGCTCAGTGTGCAATGTCCTGACCAGACTGGGAACGAGTGACCCCACAGGAAATAAAACCCGGAATCTTCTGCGTGGCAGGCAGTCATACTAACCACTGCGCTACACCTGCGGTGTCCCATACTAAAAACTGGCTATAAATAACGCAACTTTGTATCTAAGTTTCTGCGTTGTGTTGCTTCAGCGCAAGTTTTTTGTCTCTTATGGTATGACACACGCCGTCTGTCTAATTTGAATTATTTATTTGTAAAATAAAATACCTACCTAGATGGATTTACTGCTGAAATAAACTCGTTTGATTGCGGAGAAAGTACTTACACATTATCTTTTAACCATAAGTAGTTTAACGACTTTGCATGTGCCTTTATCATCTAACCTAAAGATTTATTTATAAAAATGATCTTCAGCGCATGTTTCAGTCGATTGAAGTTATTTTTTTTCGTTTGCATGGCGTGACGTTTCGACTAAAGTTGATAACATTTCCCTGATATTATTTCACCGCTAATTTCAACATCACTAATCACAGTAATGATTCATGAAAGACCACAGGATTTGGTTTGCTTAATTACCTGAATGGAGCGATAAAACTAATTTAGGTGCGTTTCGTATGAATTAGTGGTGTGGTGCATGATAATGTCGTTATAATTATTATCACTCAATCATAAAGTCACATTATAATCATACATTATGTTTCATGTTGACGACACATGACCCAGATAAATAAAGCAAATTTTTTTTTTGTTTCACCTATGCACATACAATACCTATCATACTTTGAAAACCTTTATATTACTTCTCATACATTTGAAGTCTATATCTATGGAGAAATTGCTTACGTTAGACAGTACAGCGTGTGCCGATACGCACACTAGCTTGCTGTATATATACTTTAAGTGCAAGGCTAAAAACCCTTTTCGCGCTATTGGCTCCTGGTCAGATAAGGTAAGATATTTATTTGCATTAAAGGAACCAAACTAGTCTGATCGCTACTAGCATAACTTCATAAACCCAATTTAAAAAACAGTTTTGTTCAATTCTTCTTGTTTCTCGTACAAAGTTCAAGAGACATTTGAATAGAGCGAGTGTGCAACACTTGCATTTCGTTTAGTAATTCGTTTAGTTAGGTTAACTGGATTTGCATTTTAAACCTGTTTAGCTAGTTTTATCTGCTCTCTGCTTCCAGCTGCTAAATTATTTAGCTACATTTTCTACTCGCACTTCTAAAATGGAAATTAACTATGGTGTAGAATAAAATTATCTACATTTTAAACCAATGAAAAGAAAAGACGGTCACTATGTTTAACAACGTCAAATCGTATGTAAAAATAATGTAAGCGCGTTTTTAACTTTTTTGTTAGTAATAATAACTAACAACTCGAGACTTTCACTGAATCAAACATAAAGAAAATTATATCTAAGTAATACAATTACAGTGCTAAATTATTCTCAAAAATGAAATAAGAAATTGCAAAAATGACACAATTATGTTTGTAAGAAATTGAATAAATGGCCTCCGCGTGGAGACGAGCATCCATTAATTGAAAATTTGGTATGCATTGATCGGTACATTGATAGCTCAGTGGCAGAGCGGTGAGGCGTTGACCCATTCGGCCCAGGTTCAAGCCCTGGTCGATGCATATCATTTTTTCAATTTATTATTTATTATATAAGAAAATTATAATTTTCAACTTCACCAGAGTGTAAGCAAACACGAAAATAATGAATTTTAGTTGTTAGATTGTTACTAAGGTACAGTTTGTTATAGGCTTATTATTTAGTTGTCAAACACACAAAGTTTTCGTTGGACAACTTGTTGTCCCACTAGAAGAAAAATAGCTTGCTAAACTAACTTGTAATGTTGATAAATAATTAATTGCTTGCATTAAAAAAAAACTGCCGGGGAAATCAGACTCAAATTCCGTTTTATGCCTTGTAAAATGTAGTGAAAGGTTTGACATTGACTCATTCATTCTTCAATGGCTAAGCTTTTTAAGAAAGTTCAATAGTTTCAATCTGGCACCGTTCCTGAACTTCAATCCCGTCTTTCGGCTGCTCGTTATAACATTTATTTCCCTCATAAAAGGCTACTTTCATAGGAACTGAACTTGGACATTTTCCATTCGTTTCTCTAAAATATTACTTTTCCTCGGGGCTTTTAAGCAAATGCATTGCTATGTCAGCCCGCGTCGGTAGGCGGGTGGTTCCACCATGCTCTATGATTGCACTCCTTGGATGTAATTATTGCTCTCAGAAGTTGCATTTTCGGAACAGTGTATTTCGATTTCACATACGGAAGGTCTCATCGACTAACCAGTCGAATTGTACTTTTGTTACTCAATTTATGAGAATAATATGGCACTGTTAGTACACAAAAAATCCTAATACATTGGTATGAGCAAAAAGTTTCATCATATGGTTTGAATTTCTGAAGAAATGTGGACTAACCAAAGTAGTTAGTTGTAAAAACTACTAATATCGTTTCGAGATGCGCAACAAGAGGTTGAAAAATTCATCAAGGTCAGCTAGGCGCCCGTAGCTCAGTTGGCAGGGCATTGGGAAGGTTTCCCACGGTCACGGGTTTAAGTCGCGGCGGTCCCTAATAATTTCTTCAATTTTCCGCTTTAGAATTTATGAGAATAATATAGCAATGTGAGTGCATTAAAAATCCCAATATAAATTAGTTCAGGTCAAGTAAATGGATTCAGGAAGTGAGACTGGAAATTCCACTTGACTTCTTGACGTCTGATGAATCCAGCTATCCGGTTTGATGAACTGAATAATGATACTTATGAGGTTTATCCACCTTTGTGATTCGTGGTTTACCCTTGCAAACTCCGACCCTTAAACCTGAAAGCCCAATTTTATAGATTTGACCTATTTAATGGGGTTACGATTATACGTTACGGTGCAATTTTAGGCGACAGGTTGATAACCTGTCACTATGGTGATACACAATACTCAATCTTCTGATTAACTTTCAAGTTTTTACCTGACGTGGTGTAAAATGGCCACTTTTACAGCCGTTTACGCTCTGCCTACCCCGCAAGGAATATAGTCGTGAAATATGTATGTATTCAAAACTTAAAAATCTGATAGTTCCTATAACACAAATTAAACAGAGATCTAAAATAAAGAGACACGTTACTTACTCTCGGAACCTTGAAGGTGGATCAAAAAGTCTTCATTTCTGATTCTGTTACTCATTCAATAAAATCAGGATTATTTTGATTTTAAAACGGAACAAAATACTGAAAAACACGAGGTACTATCATGACGTGCTATGGTTAACTAAGTACAAAACAACAAAGTGTTCAACACTAAATTGACATTGGAACGCGGTGAAATTTCCGGACAGGCGGCTGGATCGAAATGGAAATTGAAATATTCAGCCCATCAGTTCTCAATATTCCGTGCACTGTGGAAGTAGGTACGTAATATGCCATGCTCAGTAGATATCCGACAGGTATTTCTGCAGAGGATGTGACATGCTTGGAAATGTGTAAAGTACGAGGTGAATTGCTATGTGGGCTGCATGGTAATGCTTCGTTTTTTATTAAGTTGACACATGAGGTTGAATACTGAAATGATGTTGATGATGATGTGATGACTGATGATGAGTGATGATGACAATATCATTAAATTTCTTGGACGTAATGGTGAATTAAACACAAATCGGACGATATTCGCGATATTTCATTTCGTAATACTAGGTAATCGCAATTTCATGCGGTGTCGTGAGCGGTGTTAAACGGTTTTTGAGATTTCGTAAATTTTCTTCGACAAAAACCCCGACTTTGTGGCAAAACCCCGGCTTACATGCGAAAGATGTGAGCAACGTCTATTTAAGAACTTGCAACTTTGGGCGCTTTACAATTCACACGTCTGTTTGTGCGTTATTTTTAAGAAGCGCTATCCATTGCCTTTAAAAAAATATGATTTTTCGCCTTATTTTCATACAAATACGGTTTAAGTGAAACGATTTGACGGACGCATCGGTCCGTTAGCGCAAAAAATATCATACAACACAAAACTGCGATGACAGAAGCATTTGTCAAATAATTTGACATACCCAAATCATATCAGGTCAAAATTAGTATTTTCCCAACACATGTGTTAGATTTATATATATAGAAATGGCTATGTGTTATAATTATATAATTTTATGTAAAAAGCTAAAAGCTATAAGCTACTTGTGTGAATATAGGCTTTGAAATATTTTTTGGAGTTATTATTTGAATGTCAGGATAGAACTTATAAGTGTATCTATATTATATGTAAATTATTAATTGGGAAGGTAGTCTAACAAATTAGAAACAGACAAAGTAAGAACATATTGATTTTATTAAACCATATGTCATCCACATCTTACATATGAATCTACCAATATGTTCACCAGGTTCAGCTATATGCTACCAGGGAGAAGAACCCGGCTAAGAAACTCCTCTGGCACTTATTCTTTTCAAATGTACAATATATATAATACAATATAACAATATTTAGCACAAAATAGCTAAAAACTTACTACACAAACTAGCTTCAGCAATTAAATGGACATTAATTAGCTTACAGCGATAATTATGTACAATATAATAAAATATAAACATATTTAACACAGAAAAGCTAAAGACTAATTATAAAAACTAGCTTCAGCAATTAAATGGACGTTAATTAGCTTTCAGCAATAATTATGTACAATATAATAAAATATTTAACACAGAAATGCTAAAGACTAATTATACAAACTAGCTTCAGCAATTAAATGGACGTTAATTCGCTTTCAGCAATCAAACGGACATAATAACAATGCAAAACAGTAATTAATAATTTATAGAAAAGTAATCAACTTCGGTAAGATCAGGAACAGTGCTGTCGGCTCGGCGCTCTCACAAAAAAATGTGTTCCCAACTGACAGTCAGACGTTTTATACCCGACTGCCAGGAAACCACGATGTGCCAGAGCGCCAACCAATCAGAACGATTGTTTCAAACGGAAGTTATCACAATATTATAAAACTAATTCTAATCGATATAAAAGTGTTCTTCTTATGACCTATAAACCATTATATGAATTATCAATAGCTATTCACATTTTACTATTTGAATTTAAGACAATATTCTATGAATAACATGTGACCACGCGGTGCTAGAAAACATTCTGCCGGAAGTTATCATAAAACTATTTCTAATTTATCTTAATATAATGATACTTACAATTCATTATTTATTATATGATTAATCAACACCTATCCATATTTTACAACTCAAGTTTCATACAACAATTCATGACAAACATTGTAGTAAACAAACACGTTGTACCTGAAGATCTTATCACAACTTAATTATTAAAACAATGAGCAAGTATCAAACTATCAATGATATTCATCATCATAAATATAAATACTATTTATCATACACTAACTATATCATAATATTGTTATTTGACACCATAATATATGTTTACAATTTCTTTGAGTGACCGACATAGACATAGAAACGATAGACGAACATAGTGTGCAAAAGAGAAGAAAATAATTTATGGAAACTCAGTAAGATAGAAAAGAATAGCGAACCTTACGTCACTGTAACCTGTTTTGTATGACAGATCGTCCCAATTCAACCCGCTGGATTTTACTTGTACATTATTTTGGTGTTTTTTTCAGAAATCCTTATTTTATTTTTATAATTTGATTAGTGTGCAACGATGGTTATGTATTCAGGATGCGAATTTGATGCGAATCTTCACATTTACCCGGAAAACTGCACATTTTACAGGTAAATTCTCAGAAAGTCGTCACTAGGATTACACGTGAATTTTTTGTTTAAATGTGCCTTTTTTTGTAAGTAAAATAATAAAATACGCAAATCCTTATATTTCCTTTCGTATTTTTGATATGTAAAAGTGTATTAGTTAGTAATTTTCATAATATTTTGGGATAAAATAATTTCGCAATTAGGCCAGGGATTGACTGCAATTTATCGACAAAGTTATCGATAGTTACCTAGAGGTACCTTACATACTTTGAATAGTATAACAACAAAAAATATGCAAATTTTAAAGATTCGCTAAATAGTTACTTGAACAATTCAGACATAGTTTTTTACAAATACATATAACATTATTTTCAACTACATCCAACAGATACACTTTAGATCCAGTTATTAGAGATCGACTCGGTGACTCATGCGAAATACTTATTAATACCTATTATTTTCAGGGTCGTATTAACGAGAGATTCGCATCATCGTACGTAAACCGTGACATAGGCCCATCTACGTCTCAACATTAAAGGATGAAGAAAGATGTGTTTGACCACCGGCGATCACTTGTCTAACAGATGTCATTCTATTTCTGGTTTCGCACGTCTTATTTGTGAAGATAGCGCCTATTGACCAGGATTCTTACGAACAACCTTCTCAGCAAATTCTATAAAGAAACCTACGTAGGAAATACGCTGACTGCAAAAAAGGAAATGACCCGCCGCGCCGCAGCAAAGAAAGCATTATGTCAACATTTCAATTGAACAAATAAATAAAGTTGAAATCTTCATACCATTTTTTATTTGAAATTATCGATAACCCTCCAAATTGAATAATGTACATCACTAGCTGAGGTAAGCGCGCCAAAACCAAAATTGGTC